CGCTCTTTCCGCCTTCCAGGCTCCGACGCATCGACGCCTTTGCGGCCTTCCTGTGGCTGCTGCTGATGGGCTTCCACTTGGTAGAGACGTATCTGCAGGTGGACATCCCCAGCTGGGTGGAGACCGCCAAGTTCGGCACCACCTCCCTGTGCTGCTTGGTGGGGTTCGCCGCCGCCGTGGCCACGCGGAAGCCCGGGGGCCAGTGGAGACCTCGGCCCCGAAGGTCAGAGCCTCGGCAGTGACTTTGGCGGGCGGGGTTGGGGGTTCAAGTGCCTGAAACGTCCACGCCTTCGAATTTCTCCCCGCTGCTTCGCCTTCGCTCTTCCCATCACAGCTTTTTCCTCCTCCCTCTTCTTCCGTACGTCCTCTTTGGCAGCTACCACGGGCTTCTCTCTCCATCGGCCCACACAAGGGCTGGCTCTGCTTCACTTCCACGGGGTTGGGAGGAGGCGGACAGTTGCGAGGATCCAATGTTTTGATTCCCTTTTCAGTCTTGTGGGTGGGGTGGGGAGCAGTTTTGGCTAGCGTGGCTGGGGTCTCTCCCTGAAAGCGAAGAAATACGTAGCTGAAATTAGCGGAAGGCAATTCATCACTTAAAAGGAAGCAATGCATAAATAATAAATAAAAGTGAGCAAAGAAGCCGGGCAAACATTTTTTTTTTTTATAAATTGACTTCACAGTTAAAACTGGATTGAACCTCGTTTGAATTTACACTCTTTGCATGCTCTAAGATGGGGCACGTTACGTTTGCACGGGGATGTTGGCGTTTGCTTTGATTTTTGGGTGCAGTGATTTTTTCTTCTTCTTCTTAATATTTTATGTTGTTTTTTTTCCACTTCTTAAACTGACATGTGGCCTTTGGGCACTTGGATAAAAGCAGCCTGCCAGCCACAAATAATTGATCCTTTCCCTTAACCGAGTACTCTTTTCTTTCTGACCTCTCTAACCTTCCTTTTCTCTCTTTTTTTTATATATATATAAAATAAATTCCCATCCAGGTTGACCAGATGCCGCCCTTAGCACCTCCCCTTCAAATAAAAATTTGAAATTATTAAAAAGTATCCTGGTTGCCGGGGGGGGGAGGGGAAGGACGGTTCTGCTGAACCCAAAACTTTTTTTTTTTGTGCATCTTTCTTTTAAAAACCTTTTTAAAAAGTTTTTTTAAAAGGGAGAGAGAGTGGTAGGCTGAAGGATTGGGAAAACATGAGCATGTCTGGTGGTTTTGCAAAAGAGAAATCCCCCCCCCCCTTTTTTTTTTTAACCTGACTCAACTTGGCTTGTTTTAAAGAAGCATGCCCGTCTTTTTAAAACCTTGGGCATGTTTGCGTTCGTGCATTTTTAACACCGTTTCTGCTTTTCCTTTTCATCTCTCTTCAAGGCAATTTGCAATTAGCTTCTCTTCTGCCTTTTTTCCAGTCGGACTACAGCTCCCATCAGTTGCCCACACAAGTGCGGTGGCTGATAGGAATTGTAATGCAACCTCTGGGGACTGGAGGGCTTTCCGCCCCCCCCCCCATCTCTTCTTCCTTTTTTTCAACCCTTCCTCCAATGCTGATTTTTAATCTTTTGCTTTAGTTTTAAAAAAGCCAGCCTCGTGAAAAAGGCAGGCAAGTCAGATCTTGGGAATCACGGATATAAGGATTATTTATTCTCTAATATTATAGCCAACTTATATTTAACCAGAGCAGATTATCTGTATACTCAGTTTTAATAAGCTTTGATTTCTTAACATTACAAAATCTGAACGGGTCCCACAAGCGAAATGCGGCTTTGTTTGCTCCGCTTGGACCTGGGACATAAAAATGTACTAATAAAGGAGAATATTTGTAGCACAGGGTTGACATGCTTCGTGCTCTCTGGGGCTTGCTTGTTTTCTTGCAGATGTTTCATTATCCAAACTAGGTAACAACATCCATGCTAGTCCAGTCCATTATCACTGATGATGTTACCTAGTTTGGGTCCTGAAACGTCTACAAGAAAACGAGCAAGCCCAGAGAGAGAACCACATAAAAATATGAATGTTTGGCTCTTTTCTATTCCTGAAAAGCTGACTTAAAAAAAGAGTCAAACCCAGTTATGATGGCTGCTTCAGCTTGGAAGCCTAGATGTGATAAATCTTACTTTTCTCTCTTGGAGCTGAGCTGGAGACGAGGAAGTAAAAGGATAACCGAGTTGGGAGGTTTTATTATATTATCTTTTGCCTCGTGTTTATTTCACCATGGGGAGCGAAATAGCCCAGCAATTTAGCCAAAGCTGATGAAATTCTCCTGGGACCGTTTTGCTTTTCATCCCCAGTTTTAAGCTGGATCATTCTGGTCTTAGGGCAAAATAGTTGGGTTCTAGTTTTCTTCTCGGCCGACCTATGAAACTCTAGGAAACGTTTCAGCCTGGGCATTTTGCGCTGTGTTCAGATAATTATGATGATTATAATGACTATTATTTAAATATTTTATCCTTGTGCCTGATTTGTTGCGTTAACACTAATTATTGAAAATAAAAGGCTCCTTGACCATAATTGCTTTTCCAGTTGACTTTTTTTTTTGGACTCTCATCGTTGACGGTGGCTAACGTCTGCCCTGATCATTGCGACGCTCTGCCTTCCCTCCTTGGCAACTGAGTTTTTAGGGGAAAAAAGAGACTTTTCTAAGGTGATCCCCAGCTTCCCAATTTCTGTCGGCAAAATGGTAGATAGGTTGAGCATCTTCCTTGGAGCTGAAGGATTGTGGTTGACTACTCAACCGGTGCTGCGTAGGTAAACATGGTGTAGAAAATCTTACACTTTACATGTTTATTTAGATTTACCTTTTGGTGTGTCTCTTGCTTTTCATGGCTTCCTATCGGGCTTCAGAAGAATTTTTACAGGGTTTTTTGGGTGACGCTTCTGAATTCCCAGCAGGGCTGTGAGGAATCTGTGCTTTTCCTGTAGCAGTTAGACTCCAGTCCCCATCATCCCTGCTCATTGATGACCTTTGGAGTCCAGCAGCCCTCAGAGGCCTCCAGAGTAGCTCAACTGGGACTGGGTTTTTTTTTTCCAAAAAGCAAAACTTGGGGTGCGTCGATACAAAATTGTGGCGTCCCCAGCGACAGAACATAGAACAACAGAGTTGGAAGGGACCTTGGAGGTCATCTAGTCCAAGTCCAAGTCTCTATACAATTCCTTAAAAGCCTCCAGTGATGGAGCACCCACAACTTCTGGTGGCAAGCAGTTCCACTGGTTAATTTTCCTCACTGTTAGGAAGTTTCTCCTTAATTCCAGGCTGCTTCTCTCCTTGATTAGTTTCCCTCCATTGTTTCTTGTCCTGCCTTGAGGCGATTTGGAGAATAGGCTGACCCCCCCCCCTCTTTGTGGCAGCCCCTCAAATATTGGAAGACTGCTATCCTGTCCCCCCTCATCCTTCTCTTCATTAAACTAGACATACCCAATTCCTGCAACCGTTCTTCATATATTTAAGCCTCCAGCCCCCTCATCATCTTTCTTGCTCTTCTCTGCCTTCTTTCCAGAGTCTCAACATCTTTTTTTTTTTAATGTTGTGGCGACCAAAACGAGACTCCCTATTCTAATTGCGGCCTTGCTATAAGACTTGGGTGAAGCGGTACAAATATTTTCCGCCATCTTGATTCTCTCAAGATGTCTGGAGAGTTTTCAAAATTAAAGGGCTGTGGGGAGTGTGTGTGTGTGTGTGTGTGAGTCCAGTGGCTCATTTTATGGCCTTTTCTGCCTGCCAGGCTGGAAACCCTGAACGATAAGCTTTTCAGCTCCAATTCTACTCGTGCTCCCAGTCCTCATGGCTTCTTGCCCTGCTTCGAAGGAAGAGGAGAGCAGGGAAGGTGGCTGAGGGGAAAAAAAGGCGGGAAAGTTTCTTTGGGCTGGGAGCATTTTTTCAAGATGTCCCCCCTCGCTGCTTCCTCCTTAGGATGGTTCAAAAAAAAGGGGGGGGTGCCAGTCTGCTCCTTCCTCTTCCTCTCTCAGCCTTCCTCTTCCTCACAGGTGCCACCCGGCGATGCCTTTGGTGCCCCCTCAGCGGCCTCCCTCCAAGGACCGGCTGGTGCCAGGCGCTGAGGTGACTCCCCCCCACCCCATTGATGGCGGGAAGCTTGTCCCCGCCCCTCCAGATGGGCTCAGCCAATGGCGAGGAGCCATGCAAATGTGCCCGGCCCTCAGCCTCCTGGGTAGTGCCCGGATGGAGAGACAAAGCTCTGAATGCATTAAAGGTTTTTTTTTTTTGTCCGTATTCTTTTTATTTTATTCCTTGAAAAGAGATGCTGGAGCGGATTGAAGGCTGGGCCTGTTTTCCTTGGTCCCACAGAGGGGAGGGGTCGTCTCTGCGTGTTTTCCTTCCCATTTTGTTCAGACACACACACACACACACACACACACACACACACACCCTATTGTGGGAAATGCTTTCCAGCCCCTGGAGAATCTCAGCTTCCCTTTAAAAATCTCTCACCTTTGAGGCGGAAAGAAAAAAATAAAACACCTTTATTTTGCAAAGGCTTTTCACCAAATGGCACGGGTTTGGCACGGCCTTTTGTGAGTTTTTCTTTTCTGTCTCTGTCTCTCTCTCATTCTCTTTCTCCCCCCCCCTTTCTTTCCCTTTCTCCTCTCTTTCTCCCCTCTCTCTTTCTCCTTCTCTCTTTCTCTCATCTCTCGCCCCTTTCTATCTCCCCTCTTTCTTTCTTTTTCTCGCTTTCCCCCTCCTTCTCTTTCTTTCTCTCTTCCCTTTCTATCTCCCCCCCTTTCTCTGTCTTTCTCTTTTGCTTTCTCCCCCTCCTTTCTTTTTCTCTCTCCCTCTCCCTTTCTCCTTCTCTTTCTCTCATCTCTCTCTCTCCCCCTCTTTCTCTGTCTTTCTCCTTTCTTTCTCTCTCTCCCCCTCACTTTCTCTTTCTCTCCCCTTTCTATCTCCCCTCTCTCTCTCTTTCTTTTTCTCGTTTCCCCTTCTTTCTTTCTCTCCCCGCTTTCTCTCTCTTCCCTTTCTATCTCCCCCTTCTCTGTCTTTCTCTTTTGCTTTCTCCCCCTCCTTTCTCCTTTCTCTCCCCCTCTCGCTTTCTCCTTCTCTTTCTCTCTTCTTTCTCTCCCCTTTCTATCTCGCCCCCTTTCTGTCTTTCTTTCTTGCTTTCTCCCCTCCTTTCTCCTTTCTTTCTCTCCCCCCTCTTTCTCCTTCTTTCTCTCCTCTCTTTCCCCTTTCTATCTTTCCCCTCTTTTTCGCTTTCTCTCCTTTCTTTCTTTCTTTCTTTCTTTCTTTCTTTCTTTCTTTCTCCTCTTTCTCTCCTCTCTCCCCTTCTCTCTCCCACTTCTCTCTCTCTTTCTCTGTCTTTCCCTCTCTGTCTCTTCCAAACCCCATCCTCTGTTCTCACTGCCATTTCAGCCACACCTTTTTTCTGCCTTTTGTTTTCGCACCGCAAAAAATCAGCTGTTTTTCATTTCCTGAACAAGGCGCATGGCATTTCGGTAAGAGAAAAAAAAAACCGCACACTTCCCTATTCCTGCTTTTTGGATAAGATGCGTATCTGTTAGCCGGAAAAGGTCGTTTTTCAAATTCACAAGCTCCAGTGCCACCTCCGACAATTGTGCTGGTATATTTTTCTCACCACCACGGGGGCAGATGAACGGCTTTGAAATTCATACATTTTGTCGAGTGCAGAAGGGTGTAAATCAAATAAATCAGCGAATTGTAATTCAGTGCTTGTAAGGTTTGTGCAGGACTGCAGCTGGTCCCCAAATGCTTTAGGTTCTTTTCCTCCATCTGTGCAACTTTTAAGATGTGTGGACTTCAACTCCCAGAGTTCCCTAGTTGCTCAGGTTGAGAAATAACATATCTAGGACAAAATGCATCCTGCTCCATCTTTTCAGGATTCGGCCCAAGTACAGAAAGAGTAAGAATCATTTGCAATTGTATTTATCAAATTTATACAGCCCCCCTCCGACATCTCAGAAAAAAAATGACTGCTGGGCAGCATACAGCACTGAATTAACACAATAAAGATATAAAAAACAGTTGTTATTAAAATATAAACAAAACCACAAGCTGCAAGAGAGAATGATTGTTTACGGAGATTATGTAAATAAATAGAGGAGGAACGCGATAAAAATGTCTCGGAACCAGACCATTGTCAAAGTCTATTTGCTGCTGAAAACAAAACTTTATTTTAGTTTATTGACCTGATCAAAAATTAGGCCATAAATACAGAAAGGGGGGGAAACATTCAAAGCTTTTGCACAAGACGGGGTGAACGGTTGCAAGCCACCTTGTGATGTTGTGTGTATGTGTCTCGTTTGCAGGTTTTCCTCAGGAGACCCGGTGGCCATGTTCCCCAGCAGTGCTGAGTTCAGCTTTGCCTATCCTTCTGCTCCCCTTCCTTTCGCCCCCACTCCTCCCAGTATCCTCCAGTTGAACCAGCGGCTCTTCTGCTCCCCCCGTCGGACGTCGTCCTCATCTCTTCCTGGACGACTGAATCGGGCCCTTTCACTCGGCACCATTCCTTCCCTGGCCCGGACTGGTAAGCTGTGCCTCTTTCCCTGCTTTGGCTGGTAGTTGTTTTTGGTGGCCTTTCCAAGTTTCTAGTCCTTTGTGTGTTTGGCCTCGCTGAAGACACCACAGCTGGTTTTCCTTGCAGAAGTATGCTTTTCCTCTAATATTTACTGTGCCGTTGTAAATAGTTTGTTATTTAAAGTTTTCCTTATTTTGGATGATTATACTGTTTTTTAAAATATTTTAAATGCAAGGTGTTTTTGCCCTCGGAAAGTAAATAATAAAATAAATCTGGTATTTTACCTTAACACACAGGCTCGTGCATCATCACAGTGAAAATGAATTTAAGCGTCAGATTTTTGAACTGTTGAGTTGCCTAAGCCGTCTGTGAGGGCTGCATTAAGCGTCTTATTTTAATGATCTCTGCAGTAAGAGTCCGTGATAGATTAACATCCTTCTCCAGGCCTGACAAAGGAAGCTTTGAACTTTTCACGTCTGTGAAAATTGACAGCCAAGCGTGTTGGGAAATTTTAATTTATTTTATTTTTTTCTGGCACCCCGAACATGCTTCAAAAAATAAACTCAAAAATCAGCAAAGGGGTTTTTGGGGAGGTTTTAATTCCCTTGGTGGGTTTGCCTCTATGCTTGTCTAATCATTTCTGATCGTTGTCAAACCAGCCGCTGTGGCAGAAGGGTTTTGAAGTCTGCTGGGGAGGATGGTCTTCCTGTTCTTTCTGACCCTTGCCAACTGGGTCTAAATGGAGCTTTTGAGCTGTTCTTTAAAGCCGATTATACAGATTCAGAGAGGGGGAAAGTGCTCGGAGTGGAGAGCTAAAGTAGAGCTTCTTTGTTCAAAGGCAGTCTACCTTAGTGCTGGAGAACTATGGGAAGGGGGAATGTCCCTGCTGGCATGCTTTGTTTCACCTGGGTCCGATCCAGCCAAAGATTTCCCCGTCGCAAGGCTCAAAAAACCCTCCGCTTGGGGGGCAGGGGGAGGGTCTCCAGCTTCTGATCTGATAGATCAGACGTATCAGATTTTGCCATACGTCTGATCTGATAGATCAGACGTATCAGATTTTGCCATCTTCGCCGTTCCCCTCTCTGTTGTGGGTCCTTGTGTACTTTTGCCACCTTTGTGCACGTAATAACTTGGCTGCAGTTAGCGTATGCATACACGGTTCCCTTTCCAATTGGGTATCCACCCATCCTGGTCAAAATGTTGGATGAATAATTGACTTAATTTAAAAAAATAAAATAAAAATCAACATGAACGTTAATATTAACTTTTGCTTCCTTTGTTGAGATTCAGGCTACCTGTTCAGCGGAAGCCGCCCGCCCTCGCAGGCCTCCTGCCCCAAGGACTGGGCAGCATCAGGTGAGCAGAAGGCGGGGGTCCCCCCCCCTCTTCCACGCACCCCGTTTGGACGAGCTTCCTTTTTGCTCTTGCCACATCTGCAATCCAGATGTTAGCCTGGGTAGCCTCTAGAATCAGGCCTGGTAGGTCTGCCCTCCAGGCGTACATCAGCCAAGATGGGCCATCCGCCCCCCATTAGTTGTGGGGTGATGGGTGAGAACACAGATGGATTGGGGGGGCTCTGCCCTGCTCTCTGCCCCCCCCCCAAAGCTCCTGAGCCCACATATTTCTCAAAACAATGAATGGAGCTGATTTTAACCCCATTTTTCTTGGCTTCTTTCCGGCCTGCCCCCCCAGAATATTTCTCGGTCCTCTCCGGAAGCTGCGTGCCGTCTCCGGCACCCTCGCCGGCACCGTCGGTGACCGGCTCGATGGCGTCCAGCTCCAGTTCTTTGCGGTTCCGCCGGCCTCTGATCAGCCCCGCCCGGCTGAACCTGAAAGGACAACAGCTGCAGCTCTTTATGGGACAAAGCAAATTCCATCGGGGGGAAGATTTCGCCCCCTTGGAAAACGGCCCCTTTGCTCCGGATCGGTCAGTCTTTCCCAAAATGCACTTCGGGGAGCTGAGCTCACCAGGTACGCACCGTTTGGAAACCTTGGAAAGAAGCCGTTTCAAATGTTGGACAGTCTCCAAGGGCAGTCCCGTGGGTCCAGCATGGCAGTAGTCTAGCCTTCGGTGGGTGCAATTATGGACCATACTGGCCAGTGCATCTCAAACCCATCTGGACTTTTTGGAGAAGGGCGCGGGGCTCAAAAATTGATTGTCCCCCTCCCCGCAAACCAGATCTAGGGTGATTTAGAGAGCTAATTTGGTTTGTCCACAGCTGGGTGAGAATTTCAGGAAGTAGAGTTGAGCGTAAGGATTTAAAAACAAAAAAAAAAGTCTTGGCCCTTGGAAACGTCAGCTTTTGGCTGTCCCGCAGATGTGACCGCTGTGGTCGAAGGCAGCAGCGTCTCCACCGAGGATTCAGGGAAAAAGCGAGACAATTCGTCACACTCGTCAAACTGTGTGGTCGACACCACGACGAAAGAAGAACCTTCGGGCTGGAAGGGTGAGTTCACCGTTTCTTAAGCTCCCGTTGTTGCACAGCGTGGCGTTAGCCCGGTGGCCAGTAGGCCACCTCCCGGGGTGGGCCGTGGCCCACAGGTTGGGGACCCTGGACTAGAAGACCTCTAAGATCCCTCCCAGCTGTGTTATTCCGTCAGCATTTCCTGAAACGCTGCTTTTGAAAATCCAAAGGGGGGCCTAAATACTTACCTTCTCGTGGGTTCCTTCCTTCCTTCCTTCCTTCCTTCCTTCCTTCCTTCCTTCCTTCCTTCCTTCCTTCCTTCCTTCCTTCCTTCCTTCCTTCCTTCCTTCCTTCCTTCCTTCCTTCCTTCCTTCCTCTCTAGGATGCTTTGGGAATCTGCTTCTCCGAGGTCTCCTGGCCCTCAGCCTGACGGCCAACGCCATCTTCACCTCCGCCTACCTCTACCAAACATTGCGATGAGCCTCAGCCCCCCCACCCCCCCCAAAACTGGGGAGTTCCCCATTTTCCTCGTCCTGGAGATCGCGAGGTTGCAGAAGAGACTCGGACATCACAAGGACCTTCGCCGCCACCTAGCCGTGTCCTGCAGGCAGCGGGATCCGGTCTGTTTCTCCGCCGTTGCTGCCCTGATATTCCTTGCCTGCTTCTCCGCCAATCTGAGGTAGTCCTGGTGGAATCGGGAAGCGCTCTTGACTTTTTTTGCCCTGGTTTTCCTTGATTTGTACAGAATGTGGGAGGAACCAAAAAATGGACTTTGGAAGGCGAAGGCCAGGCGTTGCGTTCTGCCCTTCAGCCACCTTGCTTCAGTCGCAAACCTTGAATGGTGGTTAGATTCTGGCTTACGGAGAAAACGTAAGAACTTTGGGAGAGTCTTTCTCTCCGTCCTCTTTAGTCTTCCAGGCCCCAGCCCTTTTTTTTCTAATCTCTGTGTGGCTGAGGGGAAAAAACCCAGTCTTTTGTGTTGCTGGATAGTTTGCTGACTTCCAGCATCCGGTCAGTTTCACTGCTTTTCAAGTCAAATGCGTCTGGGATGTTTGGGGTAAGTCTCTGTTACTGTATGTGTGTTTGTTCTTAATTTATTAATTGTCAGGGCCAGGAAGACAGATAGCTTCATGCAGGCCAAAATGGGTCGGGGGGCTGCATCGGGGACATCTTTTATCAGCCTCGGGGGAGACCTGGGCAAAATAAAGTGGGGTTTTTTTTCCCCCCCATGCTAAAGTGGCCCAAATCTGTACTAAGTTTGCAGATGACATCCTGCTTTTTCCCCAAACCAGAAACCTGCTCTTTCAATTGGGCGTTTGACTCTTTGCATCTGGATGTTCTGTACTTCAGCAGCAGGAGACACCCTGCATGTAGAAAACTAGCAGATCAGGGCGAAAGGTGGACCCAGATGTGGGTTTTTTTCTTCCTTTTTAAACCAGAGAAGAATTTTTCCTCATTGTGAGGTTGAGCTGAGCTTCAGGTTGGTCACCTCTGCCTGC